CCCCAAAACCCCAAAACCCCAAAACCCCAAAACCCCAAAACCCCATAGGAGTGATTAGGTAATGAATAACCTTTGCCAAAATGGTTGGAGAGTAATTTTAACGTGACTGTGTCTGTTTAGCCAGTTTTGAAAATATAGAAGAAGATTCTTCCACTCTCTCTTCCAACAACATTCCAGTTTCCATTTCTGAATCCTTGGTAGAGTCCAAGAGCAGCAGTAGAAATGTTTACGCCGTTTCTGGCAGCGTTAATGACGATATCAATAGGGGAGTTGAAGGTGTTGTACATGTTAGTTACAATTCTTACCACGTCATTAAAACCATTGAAGCACCCAACATTGATTGGCTTAAGCTTTTCAAAAATGTCAGCAATTTCGAAAACTCCATTTCTGAATCCTTCATCGGTTCCTCTAGAGAATTCTCTGTTGGCATCTTCTACTGAGGCTACGATAAATTGAGACTCGGCCATGCATGTTTTAATATGCTCAGAGTCGAAGACAGTTGATCCTTCAACGAAGCCTCTGACAAATTCTTCTAATGGTTTGAGGCTTGGAATAGATACTCTAATAGCTTCAAGTTCTTCAGCAGAAAGTTTAGGATTGAACTTGAACAAGAGAGCCAAAGCTTTACCAGCTTGGAAGGCAACCTCCTTTGGTCTGTTGTTTTGGATAGCAGATACAATAGCAGAGGAAACAGTGTACCATTCCCAAGCATTAGCAATAGCAGCATCTTTAACTTGGTTAGCGAAATCGATAAATCCGTCAAATTCTCCGAAGAAGTTGGTGATTTGTTCTCTAGCTCCTACTACAACATCAAAGCAGGTTCTAGTGACAGGAGTCACATTTCCCATAGAACCGAGTAGATCAACATAGTTTTCCCAAGTCCACCCTCTGGTGATGATATGGTTGATAGCTTCTGACACATCGACAGTTCCTTTTTCAGTTTTGTGGATACACTCAGTCGAGTTTTTAACTAAGGAGTTCACATCAAATCCATCCAAGAATGAGTCAATAAGCTCTTGAACAGTTGGCTGAGCTTTGAGAGAAGTTCTTACTCCAGTAGATCTAGCTTGTACAGCGACAGTGCTAGAGGCAATGAACAAAATTGCAATCAGTGCAAAGATTGTGCTCTTCATTTTCAATAATTATAATACTATTAGGGGTTTTGGGGTTTTGGGGTTTTGGGGTTTTGGGGTTTTGGGG